TGTTGCTGCAGCTTTGGGATTCCCTTCCCTAGGACCCTTATATGGCACATGGCACTTTCGACTGTCGAGTTGAGACTTTTCTTCTCTGGAACTCCTAATGTCTCTTGAATAGTATTATTCTAGCTTTTGCTGTTAAATTGCACCACACTGTTTTTCTGGTTGTAGGGATTTGTGGGGGGTACATTTAATTGCATTTGGAAATCTGTTTTATGAGTGGGATATTCACGCCTTAAATAGAAATAAAGTAAATATATTGTACAAAGCAGCATCTGTGCGGCAGAAATTATTCATTCTGGTGCCAAATCAACAGATTACCAACATGTTCCTTCATTTTCAGATCCCTTCCTCTGCTGTGGAGATGCCTGGATCCACAGACGTATCAGGGTTAAATGTGCAGTTTGGCGCTCTTGAGTTTGGGTTGGAGCCTTCTCTCTCGGAGTTTGGAACTGCTTCAAGCTACGAGAACACCAGCCAGGCACCCAACAACATCCTGTACCCAAAGCCCATAAAGTATGCACACTGTTCCGCTTCTGTCCTATGGTCTGCTTCTCACCAAGCTTGATTTTGTGTCAGGGAAGATGTCTGAAGATAAAGGTGTTTTGTTCTAGGGACTCTGTGGCACAACCCTCCCGGGGCTGAAACAGATCTACTTGTAAATAAGAGAATCCTGGGTGTAGGATTCTAAATGTAAAGAGGTTTATTACTTGCTGGCTGCGAAGACCCGCATTGAAAATCAGGCTGGAAGTGGATGCCTTAGCTTTCCTATGAACTCCCTAATTATGTAAACTCTCACAGCTGTCTGTACTACAATACAAAATAATAATTTATTTCTTATACCCAGTGCATCGGACTGGGTTGCCTCAGCCACTCTGGGCGGTTTGGCTTCCCATTTATTCCTTGGCAGCATTGGGCTTGGGTCTTAAAGTGCTACATGAGAAGACTTGAGATTGCAAATAGGAGCTCAGGAAGGGACAGGCTCTTTATTGAAATAAGCCTCAATAGCAACAACAACAACAAAAAAGCATCCTTTTCATCCATGAGCGTTGCAGAGGATTTGGGCTAAAGATGAGGAATTAGCTGACCTGAGGTCCAGGTTTATATCCCCAGTTCAAATTTTCTGACTCTCCCCTCCTTCCCCCGTGTTTTTTATTATCTAGTCTGATTATGAGAGTTTTTTGGGCTGGACAAACGCTTGCACACTAGTTTGCGACTTATTAATTGGCCTAATAAAGGCATTGGCCCGGTAAGGTATTTGGATTTTTCCTAATGGGCCAAGAAAGCCACTATTTGGTTTTCTGTGTTTACCTTTGGTAGCAAGCTCAGGCAGAACCAGCCCACCCATGTGGCAGGGTGAGGGGACTTCCTCAGGTGGCAGGATCCACTGTGGTAGCAGACCCCAATGTAGATCTTTGTTTCCCCTTGCTCCTGATGCAGATCTTCACTCACCTCTTCTTTCCTAGTGGGGAGGGGGAGTAGCATTTTGTGATTCACCTCAGATGCCAAAATGTCTTGGGCCAGCCCTGAGCTCAGGACTGCCAGACTGGGTTTTAATGTTGCAAGAAGGGGAGGCAAAACATTTCCCCTCTTGACACCACTCACAACTATTATGCCTTCCCTTGGATTTCTCTTAAAAGCCAGGAGCAAAGTCTTTTTACCTGGAAACAGTGACGCAGAGCCATGGGAAATAAGTGGTGTTGATTTACTTCAAAGGTCGTCTCAAATTTTTGACTTTGCCCTTGTGGCAGAACTCCAAGAACTGAAGGCCTCTTTGTTTTTGAGTTGTGTGAGCATCCAGCATAGGCCTTTCCTTATTTTAAGCTGTTGAAACTTGCATATCTGGTTCAAAGCAGCTTTCTTGAGAGCTGGTTAACTTCATGATGATATCTGAATCTGTGTTAACTGTGATGTCAAATGACTTTTCTTTTTTCCAGCGATCCTTTGAATACCTCTTTGCCAATGTCCAATACAGTGCAGGAGCCCACCTATGCCACCCCTGCCATCACTTCTGCCAGCCTCAGCGGTTCCTCCCAGACTGCTAGTCCCATAACAACCACGTCCTCCTTCGACCAGGCCTCTGTGCATAGCAGGATAACATACCAAAGTTCCGTGCCTCTATCAGAACCAATCTCAGCTGCTGTCACGGTGAGTAGGTTTTGCAAAGCATCCGTTGTGGAAATGTCACCATAGTGCAGCTTGCTTATGGAGGCCAGGGTTGAGATAAATGACCTAAGGCCTAATTCATCATACTGCTCACAGTGTCTCAGGCTTGGCTTCAGATATCGTTGACTGAAATATTTTATTCTGTTTATTAGACTTTCGTCCTTCCCTTCTTCTCAAAGGAGCCCAAGGTGGCAAACAACAAAATGATGCATTGTAAAAGAACACATTTAAGAACAAACCATATTTTATCGGAGTTATATCCCACTTTTCTTTACATCCCAGCTGGGCAGCATCTAGCAGCAATGCCATATTGATTGCTTTGTCTTTTCAAATGAAGCCACAATGTTTTGGAGTCAATGCAACCTGAAAGTCCTTGAGCAGTCAAAAGTGCTTTGCACATATGCTCAGTAATCTGCAATAACCCTGTAAAGTAGGCTAGCAGCGTTATCAAACCAACACTGAGAACTACAGTCTTTCCTGAAGACTGTCTAATGAGTTGGGGACTAGCATAACTGATTACAAAAATTTAAACAGTACCAGTGATCAATTGGCAGGAACTGTTCAAACTGCAAAAGACTTAATAAGCTTAAGAGACAGTCACTTGTCATAGCAGGGGATATTTGGAAGTCTAGGTATGCTTGCTCGGACACAGGTAGCGCTGTGGTCTAAACCACTGAGCCTCTTGGGCTTGCTGATTAGAAGGTCAGCAGTTTGAATCCGCACGATGGGGTGAGCTTCCTTTGCTCTGTCCTAGCTTCTGCCAACCTAGAAGTTTGAAAGCATACCAGTGCAAGTAGATAAGTAGGTACCACTGCAGCAGGAAGGTAAATGGTGTTTGTGTGCGTTCTGGCTTCCGTCACTGTGTTCTGTTGCACCAGAAGTGGTTTAGTTGTGCTGGCCACATAACTTAGAAAGCTGTCTGCGGACAAACGCTGGCTCACTCGGCCTGAAAAGTGAGATGAGCGCTGCACCCTGTGTACACTACAACATACACAAAGACATGCATTTGCAGAACTTGCACTTTAAAAGTGCCAAGCAATAGTCACTTAGCTTTGAAAATCCCTGCCTGTTAACAAGCATCCTCACTAAACTCTGGCCAGCTTATTTCCTCCTTCCCTCTGACCAACCTTACATTGTGCATCACTCATTTTAATACTTAAAAGTGTAAGCCACCTTGGCAGAAAGGTGATATATGAAAGCAAGCAAGCAAGAAAGAAAGAAAGAAAGAGAAACATACATACATACATACATACATACATATGTACGTACATATGGAGGGGATCGTTAATGACCAACCATAGTCTTATTTGTTTTTTCGCCTGCTCCGTCACACAGGCTAACAGAAAACAGCAGTGACTTTGAAAAAGCGTTTGTCGGGTTAAAGCTGGATTTTACAAGATAACATTGCTAAAAACCTGCCACAATTTAGATGGACTGCCCCCAATTTATTACAAGCTTCTTTGAGTTAGTAGAACGTACCCCTTAATGTATGCCCCTTACACATAATTTCTCACTGGTTTTGCATGTTAGCACAAAAAAAAATTACCTGAGCCGAATTCCTTTCCTTTCTTGCTGTGTTAGCTGAGATTTAGCTACCTGTTTCATTTCACTTTTGGAGAGCTGATACGCTAATTAATATTATTTGATTACTCTTCCAGAATGGACACAGCAGTGTGCGAACACAGCCAACCCTTGACAGTAAGTTCATAAACCTTTGTTATGCATGGAGTTACTAGTTTTTCCTTGCTGTGCACTTTTGTAGTATGAGTTGATAGCCTTCTTCTCTCGGAGATCAGGGTGGTGAGGACCATATTTTGTACTTGCAGCGCTTATGCTGGTTTTCCATGCAGGCCTTAGTAGTTCACAATCAAGCCAGCTGTGTGAAGCTTGCCACCTGGTGTACAGATGGGTGTTAGCAGTTAACCATATTGAGTTCAGGCTATTTCCTGCTTCCTCCGCATGCACCCTGTGCCCAAGCCCAGACTTTTGACAGGGCTGACACTGCATCCCTTTTAAAAATCATTCACTAAGAATATCTGCGGCAATCCTGCAGGGAGCTGGTATCCTGTGTGAGGCCAGCACATTTGGTGGCTCTTTGTGGTCTCTGTGCAGTTGCATATGTGAGTTCAGCCTCATTCGGGATATTTCCCAAGCTAGGCTGAAGTTTAGTCAATCCTGGACTGAGTTAGCATTCTGCTGACTGCCAGCATTTGATTTGTTGCTCTCCTCTTTTGGGGCATGGTTTTCAGGTCTGATGGCAGATCGCTAGGCTAGTCTACTTCCACTGAATGACAGTTACTTGGGAGCACACATGGGGAGAATGTTGTTGTACTCAGGTTGTGCTTGTGGGGTTTCCAGAGGGATCTGGTTGGCTGCTATGAAAATGAAGCTGGACTAGATGGGCCTTTGGCCTGATCCAGCTGCAGGGCTTTCTTCTTACGTTTGCTTCAGTTTCCCCACCAATTCCCTTGTTCTCTCCCAGCATTTTGCTTGCCTGTTACTCTCAAATTCACATTCCTGGCAAGGGAAGCTGCCTGGACCAGCTCTCAAAAGGAATACATTGCTTTAAGGTCCTTTACATAGGTTGACTAGTTAAAGCTTCAGACTAGATTGTTAGTGAAGTGTTTTGTTTTTTCTTCAAGTGCCATGACCTCACAACTGTGAGTGCCTAATTGTTCTCTGATGTGTTTGGATGTGTCTTGCTCCTTCCAACAGTTGCTGGTTTTTTTTTTATTTCATTCACAGTAGTTAAAACTTCACCTTAAATTACTTGCTAGGCTGTCTGGCGGAGCGAGTCTTGCTGGAGCAACTTGGTTACCCTGTGGAATCTAGCAAGCCACAATGAATAGACTATGATGTTCACCTTCCAAGCACATATCTGATACAATATGCTGTGGAAAATCCTGTGACTGAGTCTTTTCTGCTAACGTCTAGAGAGTTATGCTCTTACATTAGAAAATAGGGCTGTTAAAATTTTGCAAAACCCAGAAGCAGTTTTTTCAGCGATGCCCTAGGGGTGGAAAGCAAGTCAATTTTTAAAGCTTATAGCTTTCCCTTGGGAACCTCCAGATTTTTCCAGCTATTTTTGTACAAAACAGCTTTACTTGGTGGGATTTTTGTTGTTGTAATTAATGTACCAAGAGAACCAGACCAGCTGACCTACAAGACACTCCTTATCCTTACTGCTGGATAAGGAAATGGGTGAGGCTTATCAGGAAGGAAATCCACTGGGCTAACATCACATTTGGGCCAAAGAATTAAGTGGTCCATTGACATCTTGGAAGTTTGCATTGCGTGAATCGTTCTGGGTTTTTTCTTTCTTTGTAGTACCCTTTGATCTTAGCAGTCATTTTTGGGAGGCTTCTAGAGTTCTCTTTTAAGCAGGGATTCTTCATGAGACACATTTTGCCATAATAAAACATAGATTTATACATTAACACGTTAAAATAATTCTACTTGACACTTAGAGGCAAAATTCGTGGTTGTGATATATCTGTCACTGGACTGGAGTGCTTCAGAATGCGGGCTTGAATGCTTCTATATATTTTGCAGCCTGAATAGATTGTTTATTTGCTTGGGTGGCTGAGATCTGCCCCTTGCTTGTTGAATTGTCCTTCCTGGCCAGTAGAATCTGCCAGGACCCAGGCTGTCAGTATGGACTTTGGAGATGATAAATACTTAACTGAGGGAGAAGGTAGTTCAGCCTCTCTAAAGGATGCAGTGGTAAAGATGCTGCTGTAGAAGCCAGATTTAAGTCCATTGAAGTATGGGAAATCTGTTTTGGATGGGGTTCAGTTACTCCTGAAGAATCAGGTACACAACCTGGAGGTGCCCCTGGCTTCACCTCATTCAGTGAAAGTGCAGGAGACACCAATGGCAAGAATTCCTTTAACCAACTTTGACTGGTTTTCCAGCCGCTGACAATATCTAGAGTATATAGATCTTGCTACTGTGACACTCAGGTTATATCCATTGTGCTTCATAGGGCTGCCTTTAAAGACTGTTGGAAATTTTAACATTTCAGAATATGGGAGCAAAAACGTCAGTAGAGGCCAAGCATGCAGAACATACTACACCAGTTCTGTAACTGTTACACTGGCTGCCTGTTTGTATCTGAGCCCAGGTCACAGTGCTGCTTGTGATCATTTGAAGTCCATAATCATTTGGAACCAGGTTGTCTGAGGGACTGCGTGGTCCCATACAAGCCTGTCTGGAAGTTGTAATCCATCACTGAGACCCTGCTGTCTGGTCTGTCCATAAGAAATATTAGGCTGAAGAGAGCCTTTTTAGTGATGGCCCCATACTTACGGAATACTCTTCCCTGGGAAATATGAGCCCTTCCAGCTTTGGAAACTTAAAAGAAACAAAACATGTTTATTTCAGTTTGATTTCTAATTAATAGCTGCTATTCAGTTTTAAGGGAAAGTAATACAGTGTGGTTGCAATTTGATTGTAACTTTATTATGTTTTATTGCTATTCTTGAATTTGATAAAATACCACCTTGAAGGGGCAGTTGTATGAATCTGATACAATCAATAAACTCTGTGTGTGTTCCCACTCCGTCCTATGCACAGATATCTGAATCATACAAGATAGCTCGGCTCTTTTAACGACTTCTAGAAAGATGCTGCTGGGTTTTTTTTTCATGTTTAACCTGTGCAAACCTGTGTGGACTATTCCTGGAGGTTTGCTTGTTGTGTGCACAATAGAGAAAACTACGTTGGCTGGCTGTTGACTCCTTGGCAGCATAGATCATCATTCACAGATGCCACCTCTCACAGCATCATCTCTTGTTCTGCTCTTTGCCTCTTTGCTCCTTCCAGATATCCTGGTGGTTTTCCGCTTGGCTGAAATAACACAGCCACACTTGCTTGTTGGGGAGCTGAATGGGCTGAGGGAGAGAACCAGGGTGTGGCAGAGGCATTACTTTTAAGAGTAGATGTACAGCCACTGGGCAAACAAAGTCATGGTGTGTGGATAATGAGAACCGTGTGGACTTGTCATTGCGCAGAGTTGCTGATGCTTTCCTAATGCCGTTACGGCCCAGTGATTGGATATATGTTTTTTCTCATGCGCGTGCCATTTTACACATACACCTTCCCAACCAGCTTGGTTGTGCTCTGCCGCAGGCCCCTCCTCTGAATTGCTTTTCCCAACTTATTTCAGCCACTCCATCAATTCCAGCCTCTAAGACAGAAACCTCTCCTCCGGCCCTGCCCGCCAAAGGCTGTTCCTTGCCTAGCACCACGGCCACCACAGCTTTGCTTCTACCTTCGGCACCACCGCATACAGCAGCACTTCCCAGCTTGCCGCAGTCAAATGACTTGGTCAGCAGCTCACTCTCCCAGTTAAGCAGGTACAGCAGGGTGGTAAGGGGTGGGTATGAGTTGGAGGTGGGTGGGCAGGCGCACAAGTGGTGCTCCTCTGTGTCTCCTTAACCTGCACAAGGCCAGCTTACTCCAGTTTCATTTGACACACTTCCACCAAAGGCCCAAGTTGCACAATGATGGAGACACATGGCTCACCCACCACCACTGGTTACCAAAAGGAAGCCAGTTAGGCTGCTGGAAATGCTGAGTTTGTGTGGTGCTGGTGACCGGCTAACTCTTAGCACCTATATTTGCACCTGCTGAAGCTTCTGGTTTACAAGTCTAGCCTTGAGGTTACAAGACGTGGGTGGCTTTCTTTTAATGGTGAGAATTGCCCAGTGACCTACTAGCTCTTAAACTACCTGCCCACTCCAGTGCTGGTCATTGTTGTTTTGAAAGAAACCAGATATGTCCCCAGATGACAGTCTCCCCCCTCCCTCTACGTACTCAGATGTGAACTGACCCTCACTTATCTTATCCCTCACACTTGTTTTCCTCCCAGTTCTCTCTCAAATCATCAGAGCAGCCTCTCATCTGCCTCAGCACTGTCTTCATCTACATCACACACGGTAAGTTCCTTGCATGTTTCAAGAGCTTAAATTACCTACCCTTACTAAAAATTAGGCTCTCTTGCAATGGAACGGGTGTCTTCCTTTTGACTTGGAGTGAGGAATCGTTTCCCTTATACACAATCTTTTTGTCACTCGTTACCTGCCAGAACTAATAGTTCTGAATGATTTTTTCCCTTCTCTGTGCCTCAAGACATTGAGGTTTGCCTGCTGGGTAGCTTCCACTATAATTAAAGGGGGAAACGGCACAGCATTGGAGAAGGATGCTACTTGAAAGTTGGTAGAAGCAGCAGCGGATGTTGTTGGTAGGGGAGATATCCAAGATCCACTTGTATGTACCAGCTGACAACAGAGAATTGATAATCTTGTAAATGATGATGGCAGAATTTTGGTGGCAGCTGGCAGAACTTTATCTTGATGCTTTGTGCTTGAAGTAAAAACTCCAAGATGCTTGAATAGCTTTTAGATTCATATTTCACAGTAGGCTGGTCACCAAGAAGTGAGAAATCCTAGAATCCCCATTATAAAAGCATACAGTGGTACCTCGGGTTACATACGCTTCAGGTTACAGACTCCACTAACCCAGAAATAGTACCTCGGGTTAAGAACTTCTGTTCTCAGCATGAGAACAGAAATCGTGCTCCTGTGGCACGGCAGCAGGAGGAGGCCCTATTAGCTGAAGTGGTGCTTCAGGTTAAGAACGGACCTCTGGAACGAATTAAGTACTTAACCCGAGGTACCACTGTACTGTTTAACATTACATGAAACCTCTGAGTGGGGTTTTCCAGAGGTTTGGAGTACGTTGTCAGCAATATGCTGATGACACACAGCTCTACTTCTCCTTTGCATCTGCAGGTGAGGCAGTGGAAATGCTGGACCATCGTCTCGCCTCAGTTATGGACTGGATGAGAACCAGCAAACTGAAGCTCAGTCCAGAAAAAGACTGAGGCACTGTTAGTGGGCAGTTCCCCTGGCTGGTTGGGAGGTTGCCTGCTCCCTCTGAAGGAGCGTGTACATAGCTTGGGGTACTTCTGGGTCCTTTGCTGTTGCTTAAGGCTCAGGTGGCCTCAGTGTTATGGAGTGCCTTCTATCAGCTTCAGCTAGTGGCCCAGCTGTGCCCCCATCTGGACAGGGACAGGCCTAACTTCAGTTGCCTATGTTCTGGATTACTGAAACACATTATGCATGGGGTTGCCTCTCAAGATGGTTCGGAAACTTCAGCCGGTTCAGAAGTTAGTGGCCAGATTGTGCACTGGGGCAAGATGGTTTGAACATATCATGCCACTCCTGGCCCAACTGCACTGGCTCCCAATTAGTTTCCAGGCCCAATTCAAAATGCTGGGTGGCAACACAAGAAGGGGCCTTTTCTGTGGTGGCTCCCCATTTGTGGAATGTTCTCCCAGGGAGGCTTGCCTGGCACCTTCATTATATACCTTTAGGTGCCACGCAAAAACATTCCTCTTCTAATTTGACTAATTAAACAGTCTATGGCCTTTTAAACTGTGTATTGTGGATGTGTTGTTTTGTTTTGTTATTATGGTATGAATTTTTATGTTTTCATATTGATAACTGCCCTGTGATATAGAAATTTAAGTTAATAATAATAATAATAATAATAATAATAATAATAATATACTGGAGAATGTACTACAGAACTTTAAGAACGATTTTCGGGTGGCAATACAAGACCCTCCTCTCCAGCTTCCCATGCTGCTTGCTTACAAAGTTTAGCATTTTTTTCCAGCCTGCCAGCCCCCTTTGCTTGCTCTTTAACCCCCTTTCTTTGTGTGTGCGTTTGTCTTTCCTTTCCAGCACACTAGTGTTGAGAACTCCGCTGCGCTCCAGCCTTCTGCTGCGCTCCAGCCTTCCACCACCTTTTCCGTTGCTTCAACCTTGGCCACCACCTCTTCGGTCTCCAGCATGGCCAACTCTACCAACAGCCTTGGCCTGAATGTGACCAGTGTCTCTCTGCCGGCTCCCACCAC